GTAACAACAACACTGTAACAAATCTAATATAATCTTGTACCTCAAGAGGCTGGTAGTCTCCCACATAGCCTCTGATAACACTGGCATAAGAAAGGAAAAGAAAAACATGATCAACGGACCGGTTGATTATCAGGACAGAGCTCCCCTCTTTAGAAGTAGCAAAAATTGTTAGGCTCATGGGGAACAGCACATTCCTTTCACAGATTTAGAAATACTTGTTTCAGATAATGTGCCATTTCCACATAAATGGTTCCTTTGTTGAGTTTGTGTCAGATGGTCCTTCAACCTCTGTTTAAATATCTCCAAATTTCTGCTTCATAAACTTGCAAACTAAAGATAAAAAGATTACCAGTGGAACTTGGAAAAGTTGCTACATAAGATGGAGGATTCTGTGAAATGTAGTGCATAAGGATTTCCCCCCCAAATCTACCAAGAAACCCTTGCTGTCATAACCACCTACAACAGGCACCGGGAATGTGCATTCCTATAGATGTTGCCAGACACTAATTCCCATCCTCCCTCATTTCTGTGTTAATGGGAGTTGTAGTACAACCACAGCTGGAGAGTTCCAGGTCTTCCAGACCTTCCTGACATCTTTTGCATTCAGGATTAAGCAGCAGCAGCAGCTTCAGCTCCATCTTCATGTTGCTCCCTCATCTCTAGCTTGACTATCAATTCTCTGGGTGTCCATTGCCAGATGACACCCAGGCCTACATAGTCCTCCTGACTGGTAGCCACTGATAAACATATCTGCCATGATCTTCCAGTATTTCACTTGAAAAAGCCCCCAAAATCTGAATCAACATAATCTGGACAAAACTCTTGTGCTTCTCTGCTTGGAAGCCAGCATGCATATTTATGTGTATGTAAGAAGGGAGTATTTATGTGTATGTAATTGGGGTGTGGTGGCGCTGTGGGTTAAACTACAGAAGCCTTTGTGCTGCAAGGTCAGAAGACCAGCCGTCATAAGATCGAACACACATGACGGAGTGAGCTCCCTTCGCTTGTCCCAGCTCCTGCCAACCTAGCAGTTCGAAAGCACATAAAAATGCGAGTAGATAAATAGGTACCACCACGGTGGAAAGGTAACAGTGTTCCTTTACCTAAGAAGGGAGTTCTTTCGTTTTGGGGTTTTAGAGGGATGATGCTACTCACCCACATCTGGATCCTCGGCAAGTTCCGCATAAGACCCATAGGCCTTGGGGATGCCATGGGTTTTGGCGTATTCCTCAGCTCGGCTGAGATCACGAGAAGCAATGGCCACCACCTGGAAAGCATGAAGAAGATAAGAGGGACAATTTGCCTATTTCTAAATTGTCCAGCCTGGCAAGCCAAATTCCAATTTGGGAAGGTCTCCATGACCTTTTTCCTGATTTTCCCCCCACTGAACTGTATAAAATACTGTAGAATGGCCAGTTAGGGCACCAACTGAAGATCAATGTGAGTTCTTGAACGTCATGGACCCCTGAGACCAGACAAGCAATACTGCATGCTAAGGAGCACATCCACCCAGTAAAACAATTGATTTGGCTTTAATTTGGCAAAAACTGACTGTTCTCGGTGGTTTCACTAAAAAATCACCTCTAATGGAAGCTTGCCATGCTTCTGGGTTTTCTTGTTTTCTCTAGCCAAATAGAAATTCTTTGGAGTTTCAGGAGAAGGCAGAAAGGGGAAATGAGGAAGGTTCAAAGTTCTCGGTGGCCCCATGTATGAAGAGTTGGGTGATAAATTCCAAAAATACTGCCTGGGGTGGTGGTGGTTTGAAGTCACATTTTCCCCCCACAGACCTCCTGCAGAATGTAACTGTTTCCATTGAAGAAGCTAAACCTGGCCCCTACAATGGCCATAAGACTTTAATAAAAGCATATAATTTTGGAACTACCCACAAGAATGTGGTGCACAGCCTGAAGAAGATGAATTTTCACTGAAAGCTCATTATTTGCCTTCTGATATTTTTTATTTTATTTTTTATTTACTTAATGGTCCAATAAAGATATTACTTGTTCCTGCATTTATAAAGAAAGATGAAGGGGTTTAGCCAGCGGGAGTTGCTGAAGGTGCACAACATCTAAAGCTTGCCACATTATTTTATTATATGAAGCAAAATATCGCATAAACTTCTCTGTCTATTCCGGATAGCAAAAATACAGGCACAATCAGACCAGAATGGGTTACTTTCATCCACGCAATTGCCTTTAAAGTGACCTCTTTGTCTGCCAGGAAATTGCTCCAGCCCAGCCCCATAAAGCAGAAAGCCCTATAGCTAGAGGTCCAGATTGGGGTTGGGGTGCTTTCCCCCATGTGTCTTGTGACACCCAGGGAAAAGTCTGCATTGGGCCAATCCCCAACCAGTCCAGATTGTGATCTATATCCTTGTGGGATCAAACATTTTGCCACCTGTTACTGTCATCCAGACCTTGTCCCTCTGAAGCAAGGACTTTAATTTGCCCAAGAAATGGAGGCAAGAGATTGTCAGGACATGGACTAGACAATAGAAAGGAAGGAAAGGGGTTTTTATGGTGTGGTAAAATGAGATGCTGTATCACTTTGTCTGTGGACCCTATGTAGACAGCAGTGAGGGAGAAGCACTCCAAGATAAAACCAAGGCCGCACTCCCACTCTACAGGTTGGATGGCTACTGTTAGTTAATAAGGAGAGGAGGGATTGATAGGAAAAATAAGAGGTATCTTATCCAATTACACCTGAAGGGAAATGTCTGTTTCCTGCTATTGCCACATTTTCTTTTCTTTTATTCTATTATATCTTTTATTTCTTAAAAGAATTCTGCTTCTAGCTGGATTGTTTAACTTCACCCTCAGGCAGGTGGAGTTGAGATGAACCGATACAGCATCCAAACAAAGTTACGGGGGGGGGGGGGGGTTAGCCTTGGGGGTTCACTTAGGTCACCCAGGGACAGAGAGAGAAGAGTGCCCATGGGTGAAAACGGGTCCCTGAGAGGTTCTACATCTATACTAGATAGATACTAGTATCTATACTATACTAGACGTGGGCCGCTTTTTAGGCAGGGGAGAATTAAGTTTTGGGATTCTCCATAAAGTAACCTAATGTTGGCAGGTGCTGTCAAACAGGTACCCAGTTTTAGCAACCCTAACAGAGCTTTCAAGATAAGGAGCGAGATATTTACCGGTTCTGCACACACAGAGCAGTTATCCAAGAGGAGAATGGAAAACAGAACTCCTGTTTCCCAGTGTCCTGCCTAGTAAATTCCACTGCAAACTGCCAGCGTGTAAAGGCTGGGCTTATCCAGCTAACATTTTCAGATTTCATAGTTATTACATCAGGGATTGGAACAAAAGCCTTCAGTCCAAGAAAATAATTTTCTCCCCATCCTTTCTCCTTTAGGAAGTTTCCTTATTCCTAAACTTAATATCAAAGCAACAGGAAGTTTGTTGATTCCCAGTGGATATCCCTTCCTTATTTGTACATGTGAAGTTTAACTGTTCCCACTGCACTTAGTTACTTGCCTAGGAACAGAGACTGGGATGGGCGGAAAATTTGGGTTATAACTCACATCATCCCCGAGCCACTGTTGTTTGGGGGATACTGGGAACTGTTGTGTAAAAAAGGCACCTTTCCCCCAAGTTCTGCTCATGGGGAAATTGATTAGGCTAGAGGTAATAACAAAAGGGGAAAATACTGAATTTCTGACACAGACCCATGAAAAAGGCGGCGGCCTGTCTCAAGCAGGAATACCCCTACGAAGTCAGAAAACTCCAGCAGGTTTACATACACCCCTCCCTCCACTCCTCACGACTACCTGGTGGTCTTCTGGCGGCAAAGTCTTGAGGGCGGCTAGGAAATCGTGGGCGATCTTCCCGGCCGAACAGATTCCCCATCGGGTGGCCACCATGGCAGGAAAGAGCAAGCCGCTTCAGCAGAGTCGGGAGGAAATGGAAGTAAAATCAGGACACGGGGTTGCAAAGGAGGAGAGTTTGCGGCTTGGCAGCGCTCAGGACGCCGCCAGCTGATGTAGGAGGGATGGCAGGCGACCAACAGAGGGAGGGAAAGGTCCGGGATGGAGCGGGAGGGAGCAGGGAGGAGAGGCTTGCGTAAAGAAAAGGGGGAAACAAAGCACTCCACTCAGGATTTCTTTTATAGCAGATCCGTGGATTCCCAAAAGCGGAGTCTTCCGACTGGGTTACAGTTCCCATCATCCCCAACCAGCCTGGCCCATGGTCACGGATAGCGGGTGTTTGAGTCTAGGAACATGGGACGATCCAGGGCGGGGAATGACTGCTTCAGACGCTGATGGAATAGAACTGCCATCATTCCTGGGGATCGACCGGCTAGGCGAGGATAATGGGGAGAGAGGAATCCACAACAGCAGGAGGGATAAGACTTCCCTAATTCTGTTCTAGGTAAAGTAGAATACCTGCTCTCCTCAGATAGGATTCCTAAAAGCCACAGGGCTGAAATTCAACAGGTGACATCTTAGAACATCTTAGATAAGCAGGGGTGACGGGCACCATTTTGCTTATTGGATTTTCAGCAGACAGGTTGCTCTTCAAGGCCACGGCATGAATGCAAGGGGCTCAAGACATTTAGTAGCCCATTAAGAACCAGAAGAAGAAGTAATAGAAGTAGTTAAGGTTTTCTGATCTGTTCTAGACTGAAGGACGTCTACAGGGATTTTTCCAGGTGAAGGTGCAGCATTGCATAGGAATACATCAGCATAGGAATACATCAGCAGAATCATGTGGCACTCCTCAGTGAACTGTGTTTTATCAACAAATAAATTTAGGACTGAAGTGCCTTCCCCTTCTCTCCAGAGAGCCATGCTCCAGTTTTTCAATTTAATTTTAAAGATAGAACCAGAAAATAAGTTGCCATATTTTTTTTCCTTTCTGAGAATGGGGTAGAGCAATAGTTCCCAACCTTGGGCAATCCAGATGTTCCTGGACTGCAATTCACAGAAGCCTTCACCACCAGCTGTGCTGGCCAGGGTTTCTGGGAGTTGCAGTCCAAGAACACCTGCATTACCCAAGGTTGGGAACCACTGGAGTAAAAGATCAGGTTTTCTTGCAAGGGTTTGGCGTCCTTGTGCAAAGCCAGCAGTAGAAAGAAGGCACCTGCATCTTCTGAAACCACATGATTTAGAGTGACGGTGGACCATCTGCAGCCCAACAGATGTAGGTGAGTTCAGGCTATCTTTTAACAGCCTCTTGCAATTGATTGATCCGGATCATTGATAAAGGCAAGCTGGTGCTGCTGTGGAGGAAACAAGAGTGAGATCCTAGGCACTTTGGCACTTCCCATCCCTCAAGAGTTGGCCACTGCCACACACACCCCAAAGTGCAGCTTATGACAGGGAAAAAAGATCCCCATCCCTCCTCCAGTAGAGGCACAAAGCAAGGGAAAGAGGGAAATAAGGTTGCCCGGTTTTTTTAATCAAGCTTGATCTTGTGCCTTAACTACATTCCCAGAAATTTAGCAGGTGAATGTTTGCCTATTGTTGATAAAGTGAATGGAAAAATCTCACTGCGCTCTCTCTCTCTCTCTCTCTCTGTCTGTCTGTATGTATGTGTAAGGCACAGAGGTAGGGCCAATAAAATTGGTAGTGGGTACCATCCTAAGAAAGGAATCAACAGGGTACAGTACAGCAGCCTTCTTCAATTTAGTGCCTTCCAGGTGGGAGAGACAGCAGCTTTCCACATCCTTAACCTGCTGACTATGGATCGTGGGGTTTTTGGTCCATGATCCCTGCAAGACATCTGCCTAGAGAAAGTTTACACTGATGTGGGAGATGGGGAGAAAGAAGGGGGAAGTGTTTCTAGGAAAGGATCAGAACAACAGGAGGACATGACTAGAAAGGGACCTCTGATCCTGTCCCTAGGACAAAGGACTGGTGTGAATGGCCCTTAACCAGTTACAGTATATGTTTTACACTGCAAGAGCACAGAGGTGGTCTAGACCTACAGTTTCTAGATTTATAATGACTAGGAGGTCATTGTCTCTCCATCTTGGATTGCAAGGGCGGTCTGCCACTTTCTGCTGATTGATCTGCCCCAGAAAATCCATCTGGGACTTTTTAACATAGTAGCATTGAGCAAGAAGAGCACTAGTACAGTTTATTGAATGGATAGAATGTCAGATTAGGATTCAGGAGGCCTGGACTGAAATCTTCTCTCGGCCATGAAAGTCCACTGGAAGATGGCAATAGTAAAGCATCCTTGAACATCTCATGTATCTTAGAAACTCTGTTAAGTGGGAAATGAGTTGGCAGCACATAACAATAACTTTAGACACTCCTTGTTTCCTCTGCCCACCAGTTTATTGTAGTGATAAATATAATAAATTAATGCTTATAAACATATGCTTATTGGAAGTGGCTGGCCTCTTGTTTTCACCAGGGTGGAGCTCAGGTTCTTGGAAAGAGTGATGATGGAGGCACAGGATCCCAAAGGTTGAGAACTAGTGGCATACAAAGGGATAGAAGCAGAGCACGTGGAATATTCTCCCCCCCCCCAAAGTATGACATGAAATTCAAGCCTAGGTCACCTTGTCTCCTGTTTGCTCCAAAAGCTGATTTATAGAATGAAGAGCTGCAGTGCTGAGGAACATGAAATTGGAGCTGAGTGCCTCTCAGATCCAGCTGGACCGAGAAAAGAGCAAAAGTTGCAACCTGTACCGGTCTGTTCTGAGTAGAAATTTGCAATCTCAGTACATCCTATTGATGTTATTTTTTGCAGTTGTTATTAACTCACAACTCAGAAACTTTTCCTTTTTTGTGTTACCACTCCACCTTGGCTAGGGGGGGGGGGTTCTGGACATTGAGGTCAAAAAAGTAACAATTCCAAGTTGTAGCTTTACTAGGAACAACAGGGGTAACAAATCATCTTGTTTTACAAGAGCTTGAAAACCTTACTTCGTAGACTACATACCACAGATTGACCCTGCCAGCGTAGTTGTCCCGGCTGAGGACTCTTGCTCCCCAAAAAGCTTTAAATGATGCACACTATCTGGCTTTAGGGACCAAATCCCACATGCCCTTACAATGTGGACACACACACATTCATGGGCTCACACCCCCATATGCATGTGTGTAAGTGTAAAAAGCAGAGCAGAGTGAGCGGGGAGAGAGAAGAGAGACATTTGTCTAATTCTCTCTCTCTCTCTCTCTCTCTCTCTCAGACACACACACACACACACAGCCTGACACTGGAGCAATCTAGGTGTTTGCATAGGAACAAAACCATCCTAACTGTTGCAAATAAACAATAGTAGGTTCCAACCCTAGACCAATCTGGAACGGATTTGTCCCCATTAGGGAGGGGCTGGAATGCTCTAACGAGAATGTCCTGTCAATTTTTTTTAGAGCACGTTTAACCATTCCTGCAGGGGGGTACAGAGCGGGCTAAAGTGTAGCCAACCTCATCATGCCTTGGCAGATTCCCCTTGGTTCAGCTGCACTGCTCTTAAGACTGGCAAGAGGAGAGTAAGCATAGAGCTCAGAGATGCGGTTTTCTCTGGACCTACTGGGAAAATAGAGGTGAGCCTGTCCATCCTGGAATCTTGGCTCTCTGCTTCTCCCTCGTCCTCAACCTGGATTCTAACTGTCTAAACCAGAGATGCTAACTTGTGCATTCATAATCTGCTTTTCTGAGTTTGCCAACTATTTCTCTTGTGCTTTTAGCAACTACTTCATCTGCAGAAATCAGAAAGGCCTGCAAGGTATCAATGTTCCTTTTGGGTTGGTAACTGCCGGGTTCCCTACTGCTAGACCGAGAGGGACTGGGATGAATTTGGACGTCACTGTCCCTATAACAAGTTTTGTTTTACTCATTGTGTTGTAAGTCTTGCTTCTGTTTTCCTTGTGGGTAGCAGACAGGGCAGACAAGTAGGGCCCTGATCCTACTGCACCTTGGGAAAGAAGACAGGCAGAAATGACAGGCTGGGGGGTGGCCTGAGCTGGAGTAGGGACAGAGCCTTATTCACCTGTTAGGAGACACCACAAATCTTCAATCAGAGATGGGAAGGAATCCTGCCACAATCTTTGCAGAATTCTTGCCACTCTGAGGCAGGAATTCTGCAAGTAGTGGACAAGACGGGCTGACAATCAGACTGAGTTGGCTGGATAGCTCAGTGAGTTAGGTACCTGGCTGCAGAACCAGAGGCTGGGAGTTCAAATCCCCACTGTGCCTCCAGGGAAAAGAGCCAGCCTGTGTAGCCTTGGGCAAACTGCACGATCCCAGGGTGCTCCTCTCCCCTCCACAGAAGAAGCCAGTGGCAAACACTTCTGAGTAAGTTTGATGGCTTAGAACTGAGCAGATGAAACCAAAAGATAAAAACAACAAGCCACTATTTCAATGTTATAGAAAAGCAGAATGGAGGAAGCGTTTGGCTGTGGATCAAGAGATGTCAGAATTCTTGATAAGTAGTCATCCTTCTGAGAACGTTCCAGAAAGAGGACACCACCGTAGAGAAGACCTGACCCCCCCCCAAGACACCCAGTAGGCTTGCCAGGTCTTTGGACACCAGCTGAAATTGCAAGGAATCGCCCTACATCTTGCTGGAATTTTATTTGCAACCTGGCATGCTGCCTGTGGTTTTGAGTGACTAGGAGGGACTTTTCTGGGCTAGGGTAACTGTCAATCTATCCATCACTAACCAATCATTTTCTCTTGCCTCCAAATTAAAAGAGAGCCCCGCCTCTCTGCTGAGTGTTCCTTGTGCACTTTTCTATTTCTATTGCAAAGCAAGGGGAATTTTAACCAGAATTTCACAACTCTGCCATACATCTCTGGGGTTCCAGCCAGGGTAGGGAAATGTGCCAGAGAAGGCTTATTGTCTTTTCCAGAGAATGTTTCCTTCTCATGATGTGCTCAAAGGAGGATAGCCTCAGCTTCAACATTTTTGCCTCCAGAGATAGTACAGGCTTGATTTTATCTAGGACCCACTTGTTCATCTTTCTGGCAGCCCAGGAAAATTGAGGAGACATTTCTAGTATACTGTATGCCTTCTGCAAATGCCCACTAGGGGGCTGTATCTTTTCATTTTTAGGAAATAGTATTGGTTTTCTGCAAGCC